GAAAACATTTAGCCCTCCCTTTGGAGAGAGATACTTGTTTCGATACATCCTGTAGAAAAGCAGAACGTTCAAAATGAAGTGTACCTAATTTGGCAAACTGGAATCGCCATTCATCAAGGTGTTATTTTGATTTATATCTGCGAACGAACAACTTAGGCGAATGCCATTAGTCGTAACGTAACCTGGTGCGAAAATTCTCACTGTGTGCCCTTCGGTAAACAGTTTTATGGTGCCATGCATGAGTATTAATATCGCAACGTCGAGCTTATGGCTCTCGGTCTAGTGACCACGAGGGGGTACGAACAACCATGGGGGACACCTACATCCCTTCGGAACTCGCGTCAATCCACTAATACATAATTTACTAGAATACTGAATAAAAAGTGTGTATCATTCAACCTATAATCCCATTCCTCGTGTCATTGAGCTTATGTACTTAGAACAAAATATGCCTAAACGTATTTTTTTTTTATTTTAAAAAGACCCATTATGCCGACCGCGTTGAGGAAATAATTTCTATTTCACCGAGAATAGATTCACAGGTGTCTATCAACGCTCTCGATGGTATTGGCTGGAAAGCGGGAAACACGCGTGCCAAATATTCATCAATTACATAGACGCGATGGAAATTAGGTGGCTAGCGTAATTGGAATGTTACAAGATTGGAAAACGATCATCGGGAGCATCCTACTCGAGGGGTGGCACTTTTTGAAAGAGGGTGTAATTTAAAGAAGGCGCTCGTTGGCCAAGCTCATTGTTAATTTCTGCGCGTTTTTCCGCATTGCGTGCGCAATCGCGGCGGAAAGCGAGGCGGACAGAAGCGTGGCGAGAAATTCGCGGCAGTAGCCATGGTTACCGGGCGTTGATCGCTGGGACTGGGCGTAGGCGGCGTGCGTGACTAATTTGACACCCCGTAGATATAGGTGCGCCTAACCCAGACAGTCACCTGCGATTCGTGCCGGCCTCGTGTCGGCGCTAACGATCACGATTTGCCCCCCTAATAAAACCGAATTAAACGGCCCGATAAGCGCCCCTCTCCCACCTAAATCGATGCCAAAGAACCAGCCACCAGCGCTTATTCGCTTCGATTCGATGCTTTTTAGTTTGCAATTTTGTCTCGCGATTTCGTCGAAATTTACGATTCAATTATGTGCTTTAATCGACGTTCAATTTTACTCGATTCCCGGAATACTATAATAAATTGAATCATGACGAACGTTTTGATATTTCATGATATCTAGTTCAAGGGTAAAATGGATTAGATATCTCTGTCGAGTTAATTTCTCTTCTAGTAATTCTCTTCTTCTAATTTTATTTCATTCAATTTATTTGTAATTATTAATTATTTCATGGGACAAAATAATTATTGATCTTTTCAATCTTTTTTTATCATCGTGATCCAAAACAAAATAGGAGTCATCTGTAAATGTTGAAAAATTATTTTCTGCGAAATGACTGTAGCCGTTAAATCGCGTTCACATTCTACGAAACAAACTCGCTTCTACGGGGGGTTAAAGATCAAACAACGTCGTTCCGACAGGGAGTGAGGGCGAATTATTGTTTTAAACGAGGGGTAATTGTTCACCGGGTAGCCGAGTAGAATTTCATCAAGGTAGTTCCGTACGCAAGGAAATAGTTGTAGAACGACGCGTGTCTCTTGCCTTTGAACGGGGTTTCCATGCCGACGTGACGGTAAATAACGCGCAACACCTTCCCAGTTGAAAGGGCTTTATTTTCTACGCTCTTGCCAACCAAGTCAAGCAAGATGATTTTCTTGTTCAACGTTCGTTACTGACGATAACTCGTTCAACGCGGCGCGATTCGAAGGATAATTTCCGCGTTAGCGCGGTGAAAATATTTCACTGGCGTAGATCGGTACCGATTTTCTTTGTAAATGGAACGAAAACAGGGAAGATCGCTTTTAAATTGCGCTCTGAAAAGCTTTCAGAAACGATTGCAGCTTCGATATTAGTTTTACGTCCCTCCTCCGCGTCTGGCTGCCCATTGAAAATCGACCAGCGTATTTCTCGTCGTAGGCGAACGGTTTGAAATTCTTCCCGTGGGCCGGTGTGCGCGAACGACGAAAAAAATTGTAATCGAATTGGTGTATTTTTCCAATTGGCAATCGTCGAGCGAGCGGCCGCGCGGAACGATGGCCATCGGCGGCCGTCTCTCTCGGCAAATTAGTTGGCCTACCGCGAAAAATCAATCTGCCCGCTTTTTTCCGCCCACCACGTCGTGCTTTCCGCCGATTGTCGATTCCATTCCCCCGTACTCGCTGGCAAAATACCCGATTTCAGCTACCAGTCGGACACGTGTGTCCTCTATTCCTTCGACAATGAATTTCCGTACACTACTCGATTCAGCCGTGTTAAATCACTCGCCCGATTTTTCCTGATCCGACCCCGAACTTCGATGAATTATTAATTCCCATAACCGTAGATTCCAATGACTACAAATTCAGATTTGTGGAAATTTATTACTGCTGTTTCGGTTGGTGTCTTGAAAAAGAATTAATTCTAATAAGTGTTTCCAGCGAAACCAACCCTCGTATCGATTTCAATTCTAACAAATCGTCGCGTTATCCTTTGGTTTTTACAGCAAACCTTAGGATCGCGTGACGGGAAAGCGAAACTCGTAGTCGACGATGCTCCCTAATGGTATAACGTACGATAGTGAAATTTTCTTATCCCACTCGTTAAGAAAAACAAACTCTCGTCCGAGGAACTTGGACGTAAATTGTTTCTTGGTGAAAATCGAGTACCTTTCAAATAAATAAACTGTCCTGCGTAATTCGACGAAGCAACAGAAACGCCGTGTTTCAGAATGCTTTTTAACGACGCCCAGTTACAATAACAAGCTTAACAAGCAATTCGACGTTTCGATATCGGGGCCGAGGCGGAGTGGAATCGTGTGTCCAATAAAATCTCTGCGCTACGCGGACGATAATTATCGCGAGAAAACAGCGTTAATCCCCGCAATCAATCTGCCGTATATGCGCGAGAGCGGAGGCATGCATGAAAATCTGGAAAACGCGCTTTAACCCCGGTCACAATCGGGCTACGGTGACCGCCGACCGGGACCCCTACCACCCAAACAACCCGGTTTGTCCAATAAAAGCTCCGTTTCCCTTTGCTATCACCCCCCGTTTCACCCCTCCGCAAAACCATCTCGTCGAGCGGCCTAATAAATCCGACAGATAGGATTGGCGTGCGCTATCAATTAAAAATGATGAAACCGAACGTGCGTCCGCCTCTTCGTTGCGCCTACTATCGCAACCAACCAGCGTTTTCCTCCTCTATCTCTCTCTTTATCGGTTCTTCTTCTAACGCTCCGTCTCCGTTGCTTGTTCAACTCGCGGTTGATTCCTTCGCCTTGTCTGCTCGCGTAATAAGCTTAAGCGATTAGGTGTACCTTAGGGGCGCAGCAACGTTCCCTTCTTCGACCTTCCAGGTTGCTCGTTCGCTTTCCAGCTCGACACTGAAAGTAACGAAAGGGGCAACGGGAACGAACGAGATGGAAAAGGTAAGACAGAAAGAGCGAGCTGGGTCGGCAAACCCCTCTGGAGAAAATTGAAAAAAAGTAGAGCGAACGAAGGGGGTGGATGGGTCGGGGAGCACGGCGCGGCGGCAGCACCGGCAGGTTTTAAACGCAATTTAAAATTTTAATTGCGATTCTCTTCTGGCCGAGGAGCGCCGTTGCGTTATCCTTCGTCCTTTTTCACGCGATCACGCTTTATCCACTTGGATATAAACTCTTCTGTGTTTCTTTCCTTATTAATTGGTGATTGTAGTAGCTCGAACGTTTATCGTGCAAATGGATCTTTCAAACGAGACTTTATTCGATTATTTAAAACACACGTTAACCCTTTAGATACCATAGAAATTTCTCAATTTTTTGGTAAAACTATGGAGAAAGGGCTTTAACGCTGATTTCCCAGATTTTCGGATATGTTATAGAAAGGGCTTAGAAAACATTTTTTCGTCCGTTGCAAAAAATCAGTTTCTTTGACAGGTAAATAAGCAGGTGCTAGGGAAGGTTGCTATATTTGGCCCTCGTTAAACTACACAGTCCGTGTAGACCGGTCGAAAAGCGTACCCCTAGGAGCCTAATCGATGCGTCGTCGCATGCGACTGCGTGCTTTTATCGCTGTCACGCACATAATTAATTTAATTTAGTTTAATACGACGGGGCCAGCGTCAGCCGGCGATTGCTGTTCCGATTGTTTGCACGGAAACGCTATCATTAAACTCGGCCCGCTCGTCGGTCGCGCACGACACTCGTGTCCGCTCGATTCGACGGAGACAGAAAGCAAAACAGAGAGACACATATTTGCGAGAGATCGTGTTGACGAATCGCGTCGATTACCATTAATAAAGTAGAACGCTAATTCTCCATCGATCGGACGAATTTTTTCTTTCCATGCGAATTCGCGTTTTCACGACATCCGCTCGTTTTTCACCCTTCTGCTTTTCGGGAGGGTCGATCGAGGTGTTATTTTTACGGGGCATAAAAGTCGATGAAGGAGAATTTGATTAGTTCATTACGTCAACAACGAAAGGTAAGTTTTTAATAAACTCTGTTGAAAATCGGCTTGGGTAGAGCTCTCCTTTCGTGGAATCGTTAAAGTAACACGATCGGCCACCGGTGTCGTGAGGGTTAACGAGTTAATACGTTGTTAGTTGCGTGACTCCGCACGGCGGGGTGATTATTTAAAAATGTATGAATATTCGTCGTGCCAGCGAGAAAGAGATCTTTCGTTTCGTACCGATTAACAGCGCGATTCTATGCAATTATTCTTCTTAATCTAGAATCCGACAGATCTACGATTACGAAGAGAAAGTGCCTACGTCGTCGCGAATTTTCAAATTTCGTGAAACTTTCTATCTTTTTCATTATGGAGAAAATTGGATAGCCACAATTCATTATTATTATTCGAATGTATCAAAGTTTTTCGTTTAAAAATTGTAAATTTAACTTACAATCTACGATTAACTCACCTGGACGCGCACTTCCGGAAGACTGACTTTTGCAGCGAGCTCCTCCCTGGAGTACACGTCCGGATAATGAGACTTCTCGAAGGCCCTCTCGAGCTCGTGCAGCTGGTAGGTGGTGAAGGTCGTCCTGTTTCGACGATGCTTCTTCTTGCCGCCGTTCCCGTTTAAATCGTCCCCGCAGCCTGTGCCGAGTTCCTCGTCGCTGCCGCCGCCGGTGGAGTTGCAGCTGTTCTCACCTGGAACCCACGGGAGTGGTCAGGTCTCCTCGGAAACGGTCGTTACGGTTAATAGGTACGGTAATGGTGATCGATTTATCCAGTCCCAGCTATTACCTCTATTATCCGCGTATAATGCCAGCTATTACAAGTGTTGTAACGCTCATCAGCGTTGTGAAAGCTGAATTTCGCGATCGCGTGCATCCTACCCTCCCCTGCGTTTTTCATATATTCGCGAATTTCTCTTTCGACGTCGCTTTCAAACTAGCTGATTGAAAAATTAATTCTCTTTGACCGTAAAAACAACTGAAATTCTTTTTCTCTTTGCAGATGATATTTCTTTTTGTTGCGAAACGTGGAACACTTGATTTATTCGAAGTCGCGTGAGTCGAACGATTTCCAAAGGTTCGCTAATTCCCTCCGTCGTTGTATTATTCAGATTTAATGACACACTACGTGTGGACTATTATTGATTCGCACGGATTTGTAATTATTGCCTCTGTTATACCCTGTACAACGACGTATTTATTACAACAGCTGTAACGAATCCAATACATTCGTCCAATATCACCGAATCTTAATAATTAATTATCGATTTTTCTTGAATATACAATTTGAAATCTGTCCTGTAGAAATGAATAATTGAAGTACGAATTAAAATGATGGAATGTTTTATTTCTACTTGTTCCTTTATTGATGCCGAACGGTTAATTAAATGCGATAGAAATTTAAAAGGCAATCGCCTTGGAAAAGCTCGAATATGCATCGACACGCGCGTTTATATTGTATACTAGGTGCCGTGTCGGAGATCGAACCGGTGATTATTATATTTGTAAGGTCTCGTGTTAAATGAAACGAAGCTTATCATTCATTTTACAAAGTAGCAACCGTATTGTGGCAGTGTAACGCGTTATCGCTGAAAGAGCAACGAGTTGGAAAAAGGAAAATTCGCGATGTTTTACGATGTTAAAGTTATCGCGAGATTTGCTTACGAATCGCATTCCTAATGGACTTAACATACTTCGCAATTAAGCGCGATTTATCTATTTCAGGGATTGCAGATAATTAAAATTTTTTAATAATTTGGAACGTGTTGTCTGTCGTCAGCAAATTCCATGACGCACGAACCGGCAATTTTACGTACAATAGAAATCAACGCTTGAACGCAATTTGCTCGGTGTAGCACGACGGAAATTGAGGGGCCAGCTGCAAAAAGCGAAAAACCGGATTTTTGGTTTAGGTACTTTCAAACAAACGAGTGAAAATGAAAAAAAATTTGTTGATTTTAACTTTTAAAAATTGCAATCTGAAAGACTCTTCGTCGTTCGCGTTATTTGTAAATGCAATTTTGTTAAACAACAAGTAGTTATCGTCTTACACATTTCGTCATCGTTAAACAAGTTACAACACGTAACCGCGTAACCTGTACTTCCGGCAAACTATTACACGCTCCTTTTCGTTGCAAATTACCGCCATCTCCCGCATTATCCGTCCTTATTATAGTATCCAGGAGCACGAACGCCGTTATCGAGGAAGAAATTGATTCTATGAAGCCACAGCGGACGAAAGAGACTACATTGGCGAACACATATTTTCTGTAGCGATTTTCGAGACACTTTCTCAGCATAGAAAACACGGCAACATTACGATGTACAAATCCGTTCCTAACGTGATTAATTTGCCACGGGAAGGAAATGGGGGGCCGTTTTCCGGCGTTCTTCGACCATAACCAAATTCAACAATCGAATAGGTTCGAGCTCCGAGTGATTCTCTTTTCGACGGCCCATCCCGACACCCTGTGGGCTGTATATATTCAGGCTCTCATTAACTGCATAATTAACCTTCTCTCGCATCGTAGCGTAGCGCATTAGATCGAATTGTGGGGGGTAATAGGGTGGCTCAATGGCGGCGTTCTCGTGTATAGACACACACACGTACACGGGTTAGTGCATACCGACACCTGTGCAACGTGTACGTACCGTTCGTGCGTGTCTGTGTGGCATCGGGTCGGTGCTAACCAACAGCCTAATAACCTCGCCTTGCCTCGTGATTGACGCCCCTGTACCGGCTAATTATCAACAACAATCAATAATGGCCCCCGAGAGTGGCAACACCATCGTCCTCCTTCGACCCCTTTCACTCTCTCCTTCACCTCTATTCACCTTAACGGACAGAGAACACCCTTCTTCCTCGAGGCTGTAACCATCTAACCTCTACGGAGGGACTTCTGTTTTAGAACGCAACCGGATCGAATTTGCCGGGAAGAAATCGACGAAAAGGAACTTGCCGGAGGACCGAGGTTAAATAATAGCGGCTGACAGGGAAAGGAGACTGACCAGTTTAAAAGTGACGCTTCACGGTAGCGAAATTTCGCCTCGTTCAATTGCTGGCTTTCGATCGGAAGCACTGACGAGATTAACGATGAATATAATGATACGTCACGAGAATATTTTTGAAGAAGGTTGCGGGAGAATAGGGCAGTTGATTCATTTTGATTGGTAACAAGACGGACACAAGTAATGATGAATCGGCGATGGTTTCGAACCGAAACTTCCGCTTTGTTTCGAATGAAGCGATGATAGACAAGCGGCGGAAATTAAATTACGAGACCGCGTATCTTTTCCTTTTCCTAGATAATTCGTATCGGAAACTCGGTTCTATAACTATGTATAGCTGATCTATGGACTAACATCCATTTATAATTGTATTTATTTGTATAAGAGAATGATAAACGCGAAGTGGTCGAGGTTTAAGAGGAAATTAACGTAGACAGGTAATATCTACAGGGGGACAGAGAGATTTCTGTACGGATGCGTACAGAAGGCGAACACAAGCAGCCGGTGTAAACGCGTGTGTGGGTACGTCTGCGCAATAATTGGTTTCGGTCGGACAGAGTAATTATCAGTGATTAAATTCCACGAGGTGCAGCTGCGGAGAGACGATGCGCCGTCGCTCTTGTTCCTCTCGGTTACGTTATATCAAGAGCACCCTATGGATCCCTATCGTTCCAAGTGGCTCGAATTTTCGAGGATTTAACCCTTTCACCGCTAATGTCGACTAAAATCATCCTCTATTAGGCGATCTGTAACGATACTGTACACCGAAATTTTCATCATCATCCCTATCTCTATAATTTTCATTCACCGATTTTCAAAAGCTACAGAACAATTAAAGTAGAGTAAGGTAGAATAACGCAAGTGTATTGTCTTCCTTAATCGATTCTACCCTAAGATCCCAGCGTCTGAAAAATCGAAAGATGACCCGTGGCGTTTTGAAATTTATCAGCGATCAGTGTTGGCCCATTAGAGCCGGTGCCCGATTCGGGAGGAGGCCACGATCGTTCCTCGACCGCTTCGTCCATTATACTATCTTTCCGTGTCAATCTCTTAAGTAGCTGGAATGGACTAGAACCGCTTCATAATCACGCGATACCATCTTGTTTCTCCCTCGTACGCGGAATACCAATGCGGCTAAACTTTCGACCTTCTCTTTTTCAAGTTCCCTCGCAAATATTACAATTAATCGATTAACGCAGCAAGCTTGTAGTCCATCAAATTTAATATTCATCGATGTCTGAATTAATGAATTCACTGGTAGCAGACTGACAGGAGAATCAGGACGATCTCTGGTACTCTAATTAAATATTACTTAACGCTGACAATCTTCCACTTTCCATCCGAACGAAATAAACGAAACGAGCAACGATCGGTATAAATAACGATCCTTTTCCCGGTAAAGAGGATCCTGCTCTTCTATCAGACCTCATCCGTGAATTCCTGCCCCTTCTCTCATTTTTTCAACGTTGTTCGATGTAGCTTCGTCGTTTATACTTAAGCACGGCTGTCGATTCGAAATCGAATTTCCTTGATCGGCGTAGGAGGACAGGGGTGAGAGAAGGAAAGGCAAAACGAGAGGAGGAAATAAGAGAAAGAAGACGATACGCCGTCACACAGAGGGCTTAGCTCGCCGACCAAAGAGGATTACAGAATTTGTCTTCTCCTGGACCGTCACCGGTGCGCACCTTTCTCTCTTTCTCTCTCTTTCTCCCTGCTTCTTTCCTTCTCTTTCGCTCGCTCGTTTTCTCTCATCTTTATTTTCTCCCGTCTCTACGGGCTTCTTCTGCTCGCTCCTCCCGGCTTCTCACCGCGCTTTTTATCTCCGGAACGAAACGCAATGGCCACTTTGCGCGGCACAAAGTTTCGACGGAAATTTCTTCGTAAAAGCCACTGTCACCTGTCGCACTCTTTAATCCGACGCAACGTATCGATCCACGAAAAGTGTTTCCACCCTGTCGGGTTATCCGTTTTTTCAGCGTATCCATTCGGTCAACGGATATTTTTAGCGAGCAACGTATCAATCTTTGTTTCGTAGGGTAAAAATAGTTCAACTTTACATCCTTGTAAATCCTTCCTTAACTGTATAAACACAGCAAATTTGCACAAGCTAAAACTTGTTAAGCAGTTTTTACAGCTTTGCTGTAAAAAGAACGCCAACACCGGGGATGAAGTTTATCAATTCAATTTGTTAATGGTAACACGAAAAATTATAATATCAAGCATGTTGTAAAAGCGCAAATCAAGTGTACTTTTTATCTTTCTATTCAACGTGAAACTTGATAAAGTATGTTCAACGTTCGTTAAACAACATTAAAATAAAAAGACGGAATAGAAAATCAAGCTCACAGACGTTATCACTATCCGGGCAGAGTCATTAATTTAATTACAGACTTATGAAATTACTCGACGAGCCGTTGCATGCTCGCAAGAGTCAGCCTGATCGGATAATTATTTTTCTCGCAATCATTCGACGCGTTTAATCCGATGAATTTTATTGCCTGCTCGCGATTCGAGACGAGAAGGGAAACCGGAAGAGCGAAGAGAAACACGGTCTCCTCGATTCCTTGATCGGCAACAGGAGAGTATCGGGTTCGTCGATTATTCGCGTACCGGTATCGAATTATTAAATTGTCAAAGCGGTGGTGAGAACACGAGCAAACCGATAGAGGAAGAGAGAAAGCGCGA